GATGGCAACGCGTCCGTCCGTCCTGCTGGGGGGGATGGAGGGGTGACTTTGTCCCCAGAGCCACCCCTGCATGTCACAGCGCCCCCTCCGTCCCCCCCACAGCCACTGTGTTCCTGGAGCTGTGGAAGAGGCAGAGAGCCACTGTGGTCACCAACTGGGACCTGTACAGGTGGGATGAGGAGGAGGTGAGGATGTCCTCTTGCCTGCTCTCCGCAGGGCAGCAGGCAGTGTAAACACCTCAACAGGCAGCAAAGCCACCATCTGACCATCCCAGGAGGGTGTTGGGGGGGACAGAGCCCTCCAGGGAGTTAAGCCGACGCTAGCCACCTCGCTCCGTTGCTAGTCACCCCTCCAGGGCTTGAGGTCAATCAGGACTGGCCACGCCGTTGTGGGTTGGGGTCCATCCCTGTCCTTCTCTGGGACTGCTCATTCCACAGCGACCCCTGGACCCTCCACCGCCTGGGCACAGCTCCGCTGGATCCTTTCTTTTCCTTCATTTTTGTTTAAGGAGGAGCTGGCTATGGAGCTGATCAACAACGTGCAGCACGAACCCAGGCAGTACCAGCACTCCTACTTCCGCAGCACCATCATCCTCTTCTTGGTTCTGGTGATGGTAGGTGCCGGGGTGACCGCAGGGAGAGCTGGTTTAAGGGGACATGGCCTTTCCTCCTTCCCTCCTGACTCCGCTGCAAGAGCGGCGCCTCCGAGTGTCCCATTGCTGGAGCAAAGGCAGAAACCAGGTTGGTGCGGCAGGTCCGTGCCCATGGCAAGGACCTAGGGGCCTCCCTACCCTTGCACCTCGCTGTGCTGATGGAGAGGCCGACCACCCTTGGGGGATCTGGGCTGAAGGCCCTGCTCTTGCAGCGGAAGGCGGTGAGGATCAGGGCAGCAACGGAGAGGGCAGGAAGAGGCAAACCCTCGATGCCCTCATTTCTCCCCAAGGGCCAGTGGAGAGAGGCTGGACGAGGGGTTCAGGTGGAGGAGACCTTCTGAACCTCTCATCCTTAACTGCAGAGCACTGGCTTGCATTTGAAACCACGTCCAGGCGAGCTCTGGTGAAGGGGAGACAGGGTCTGATGGTCCTCAGGCGGGATGGAGCATGTGCCCTCCATGCCTGGCTCCTCACCCCCCCGTCGCCCTCCTCTGCAGATCGCCGTGCTGATCGGCATCGCCCACGCGCTCGTCATCTACCGGGTGGTGGCAACGGCTCTCTTCACCCAGAGTGGCTCCGAGTTCCTCCGTGAGCAGGCCAACACCATGGCGGTGATGACGGGGGCCGTGCTGCACTACCTCACCATCGTCATCATGACCAAGGTGGGGAGCGGGACGCGGGGCGGGCAGGGGGCCTTCTCCCTGCTGTTCCCCCAGTGACCCTCCCCTCTCATTTTATGCCTCTTCCCCTGCAGGTCAACAGGCGCGTGGCCCTCTACCTCTGCGACCTGGGTAAGGAACACGGGGGCCTGTCCCTCACCCGCACCCTGTGGCGCCCAGCGGTACCCGGGGACTGCACCGCAGCACCCCCTTAGGTCCCCAAATGCAACTCCTGCCCCCTTCCCTTCCTACACCATCACAAAGCATCTACTGGGCAGCTCTTGCCATGCAGGTCCCCATGGGAGGCCAGCAGTCCTCCAACACACAAGACCATCGGTGGCCCATGTGCTGCCAGCCAGCTGTCCTACAGCCATGCTACGCTTCGGAGGGGCAGTCACCCTAGGGGGCTGAGACCTGGCATGAGCAGGAAGCCACCGCAGCTCCAGGAGAGCTCGCACCGTGGTTTTCCTCCCAGCTGAAGGGCCCCTTCTCCCCCACCCCATGGCTCTGAGGGACCTCCCCACCCTTTGATGGGCTCAGCTCCATTGAAGGGCTCCAGCGAAGGGCAGGGAAGGCTCCACAAGGGCAGAGATGCCCTTCCAACCTCCAGAGAGCTGCTGGGGCATCCGAGGGGGAGCAGGACAAGGTCCCGCCACTCTGTGACCAAGCCCTTGGGACTTGCTCCCTTCCCCAGAGAAACCACGTACCTTCTCCCAGCGCGAGAACAACTTCACCGTGAAGATCTTCACCTTCCAGTTCTTCACGCACTTCTCTTCGCTCATCTACATCGCCTTTTTCCTGGGACGGTGAGTGGTGGCTGGGGGGGCGGAGGAGAGCCTGGGTTTGGGACATACATCCCCAACATTCCCCAGGGTCTAGGGACAGCCTGGTCCCTCTACCGTCCCCACCAGGCACAGGGACCCCATTCGGGACCTCAGGAGGGCCATGACTTTTCCCCATGGGCACAGTGGGTGGTGGTGGGGAAGCCCCTTGCCTCTCCACCAGTGGCTGGAGGACGATGCCCTCCTGGATGTTCACCCAGCGGGGGTGAGCAGTGGGGCTCAACAGACATTGCTGCTGTCGCTTCCTTGCTCAGGATCAACGGCCACCCCGGCCACTACGTGCGCATCGCTGGCAAGTGGAGGCTGGAGGAGGTGAGGACTTGCCGTGACACCCTCAGACCCCACCCCACAACTCCTACTCTTCCTTTCCCTCCTGCCCACCAAGGCTCTGGGAAGCTCCAGCTTCCCCCTATGGTACCCACCTTGGCCAAACAGCCCCTGGGGCCAGGCCACCCCACTGGCAGGGCACAACTCCTCTCGTCCCTTCACAGTGCCACCCCAGTGGCTGCATCACCGACCTCTTCATCCAGATGGCCATAATTATGCTGCTCAAGCAGACCATCAGCAACGTGATGGAGTACCTCATCCCGTAAGCTTTCCTCCCGCCTGTGGAGCGCTCGTTGGTGCTCTGGGGCATTCTGGACAGCCTCCCAGCTCTTACGAAGAGTAACCCTAGTCTCTTTGGGCCCAGATTTCCTTCCTTTCCTTCCTCGGGCCTCCAGGGCTGTCACTGGCAGCAGTTCAGCCCCGCTGTCCTCTGCGGGCAGCCGTGCAAATCGCTCCCTCCCCTTGCAGCTGGATCTCCTACAAGCTACGCAAGAAGCAGCAGCGCCCCAAGAAGAGAAGCATGATGTTAGGAGAGGAGGAGGAGGCTGAGGACCCCTGCAAAAGACAGTGGCTGAGCAACTATCAGCTCAACAAGGTCAACGTCTTCAGCTTGTTCAACGAGTTCTTGGAGATGGGTACGTCGGAAGGGGTCGAGCGAGGAGGGGTGATGGGTGCCAACTGAGAAGGGGTGATGGGTGCCGAGCCACGTGCCCCCCTTGGCTGGAGGGAGCCTGATGCTGGGGGGTCCATACGTCGGCAAGGGAGAGCTCTGAGCCCCAGCTCCATGCCCAGCCCCGCTCCAAGAGCTCTGGCACACCAAGGACATCATTCCCAAAATGAGGGAGAGCAGGCAACTGCCTGGGGCCTTCCTCTCCCCCCAGGAGTGTCAAGGTGATGGCCGTAACCCCAAGGCGGTCCCTCCGCCTGGCTGGCTCGGCCCGTGCCCTGTGGGCCCCCCGCAGATCTCCCTCTCCAACAGCCCTGGGGGAGGTGGGTGTCCCCTCTGGGGGCATGGGGTCCCCAGGACAGGTCTATCTCCCCCTTTCACCCCTGCAAACCCCTCTGACACAAACTGCCAAGCGAGACAAACCCAGAGAGCGGTCAGGCCACGGTGGGATGTCCCCTGGGGGGGCGGCTGTGCACCAGCACCCGGCATTTTCCCCCTCCGCAGTCATCCAGTACAGCTTCACCACCATCTTCGTCGCCGCCTTTCCCCTCGCCCCGCTGCTGGCCTTCTGCAACAACCTCTTCGAGATCCGCCTGGACGCCATCAAGATGATGCGGCTGCACCGGCGCATGGTGCCCAGGAAGGCCAATGACATCGGTGAGATGGGCCCCAAGGAGCAACCCCCACCACCACCACCAGTGCCGCTGCCTGCATGTGCAGTGCTGGCATCAAGCCCTGTCCCCAGCGCGGAGCCCTCACGCATCCCTTTGCCAGGGGCTGGTGTCGCTTCTCCATGGAGGTGGGAGAGCACAGGGTGGGTTGGGGAAGGAGAAGGGGTAATGGCTTTAAACTAAACCAGGGTAGGTTTAGACTGGATCTAAGGAAGAAATTCTTTCCAATGAGGGTGGGTTGGGCTGGGTGACCTCTAGGGGTCCCTTCCAAGCCAAAACAGTCTACAATTCTATGATAATATTATGTAAGCCTATATAAATTCCCTTCATTCTGTCTCAATGGTTCGCATCTCAAACCAGGCAAAAGATCAAAGATATTGAAGTATTTCCATAGTTCCCCTGATAGAACACCACCTGGAACAGGTTTTGTGTTGGGCTTTCAAGACTTACAGTCTTACTAGAAATCTTGAAAATCATAATCAAGGGCTTCTCATCTCATGAGTTATTGTGGGTCATGGATGCATAGGCAAGGGGGCATAGGGCTCCAGCAACCAGATATGTGGGCAGAAAGGAGGGGGAGGGAAAAAAGGGGATCATAGAATCACTTTGGTTGGAAAAGACCTTTAAGATCATCGAGTCCAACTTTTAACCTCACCCTGCCATCCCACCACTAAACCCTGTCCCTAAATAAACAAGGGAAGCCTGCAGAGACGGAGGAGCAGCGTGGAGGCTCCTTCCTTGACCTGTCCCGGCCATGCCAGCCCCATCCCTGCGCCGGGGCTTGGTCTGCAAGCCCTGGACAGCAACAGCAAGCTGGCATGGGGAAGGGGGGGGCCCTCGTTGACTACTCCTCTCCCACAGGAATCTGGCTGCAGGTCCTGGAGGCCATCGGCATCCTGGCTGTCATTGGAAACGGGCTGGTGATCGCCATCACGTCCGATTTCATTCCTGTGCAGGTCTACAAGTACACGTACAGCCCCTGCGCGACGGAAAACAGCACGGGCGTGGAGTGAGTGCTGCCAGACGGTTGCTCGCAGCCCCGTGCCACCGGAGGGGGGAAAGGGGAGCAGGCGACACCGGCCTCAGCATCCCAGCCGGCCTCCCACTCATATCATCCCCACGGGGGGGGTAAACTGGTACCCCCGGGTGGAAAGAGCACCCTGTAATGCTGGAGGGCTGCAGGACCACCCGGGTGCCTGCCCGTGCCCTCCTCGCCCTCCCCCTTTTCCGCCAAGCCTTGGCTCACCAGCTGAGTTCGGTCAATCCAGACAGAAGTCTCGGAGCTGCTCATTTCCCCCAGGCTTTGGGAAAATGGGGAGGTAGGGAGGGAAGGGAGAGCCCCAGCAGGGTGCTGGCTCCCCCAGGATGGGAGGCTACGGTCCATGCTCAACCCCACGAGTCCACACGCTGGGAAAGCCGGGAAGCAAAAGCTGCAGGCAGGCAACCTCTGGAGCCACCAGAGGCCTCCAAGTCCCCTACAAGAGCTGCAGCTTTCGGTTAGGGCATGCCGCA